CCTGATGAATATCAGCAATTGTGAATACTCTGGAAGAGATTTCCCGTCTCATCTCGTCCTATGATCAAACTTTTGTTAGCCAATTTGAGCGCGCGGGTTCTACTAAAATCAGTTATATATATCTAGTGATCTTATAAGTTAAGTAGATGTGATTTTTGGAGATATCTGCACAAGAGAGATATATGAATCATGCACTAATCGTAAACTCATATTAGAGAGATGATAAAATGAGGTTTACGTTGAAGTGAACCAAAATTGTTAGACTAAAATACTTGATAAGACAAGTCACTACTTATAGTATTCATATTATATATAGTCCTATATCACCTTAAATAACTTAAAGATATACTCTATATGTCCAAAATTATTATCCAGTTTATATTTTCGGTTTTAATTCGTTTTGTACTGAAAATGAAAAATATAAACTGAAAAATAATTTCGGGACTGGGAGTACTTCAAAACTTTAGTACTTAAAAGCTTTTAAGGTAAGATGAAGAGTTTACCGACAACTACCTCATGATCACATAGGGACCTAATATTTTAATCATGAAACCGATTTGAAGAATATTATGTATAATGTCAAAGGGCAACAACTAACAACCGCTAACTATTGCAACTACCATAAGAAAAAATAAAGTATGTCAGGGCCCTATATATAAAGACAACTACAAGATGGTTAAGGCCGAAGAAAATACAATCATTCTCGACTCTTTTAAGTCATTTTACCATTCGGATATTGCAGGTTCTAATTATGAATTGACCTACACATTGTAAAGTTCAACTACTAGCTAATTTATATCAAGTTGTGTTAGTTATAAACTGCACCAATCGTGTGTTTTTCTATTTAGAAAATTATGACCTTTAATCAGTATAGGGATTAATACTCTTTTTGATAATGTATAAGTTTAGATGCAGATTTCAAATTACAGCATTAGAGTGAATATGGCATGATAGATAAACATAATTTTGTTAATTAGGAAAAGAAAACACCGGCTTGGAGTTTGGACCATTTAAGATGAATTTACCAAGTGGAAGAACCAAAGGATAATATATGTCTTTTTTGAATTAATTAAAATATGACTTCACCCATTGTGTCATTTGAACTTGGAACCCCATGCTAATTATTGGCATTGCCAGTCTGTGACAAACATTTATAATTACTGTATGTGAGAAATCTTCCATCCTGTGATAAGAATCGAACCCTATACATCTGCTCAAATCTTATCACCAGACGAAGACTACATTCTTAGCATGATTGTGAATTTCTTACAAATTATTTTGAGAATCTCAATAGAAAAGTGGTGCGTTCCAAACAAATTCCAATTGCCTCTCAATTATTAGAGATAACGACTTCCTAACCTTTCGATAATGCACTTGATCTGACCTAAATTTTGGAATTTAAGAAAATCAACAAGTCTATTTTCTATTAAATTTGGAGAAAGATGGAAAAAAAAAAAACAGTCATGATCAAATTGCTTTAATTTTCAATTATTGTTTCATAAATATCATTCAAACCTCCAAGGCTTTGCATTCGTGAGCTTCATTTATTTCCAGGGTTTCTAAGGTGCAACAGGCCCGGACTTGACAGAGATAGTCGGCACAAATACTTTATGCGGAAATAATTAGTTTAAATAAGTTAAAGACGTCTTAAGGCTAACTTTCTTTGTAATTAAATAATTAGCTAACTTACAAAGTAATAATCAATCAACTCAAAAATAAAATTACACAATTTTTGTAAAGAAAAAAAATTCTTCTTATTACTTCTTTTTTTTTTTTTTTTGGCCCTTCTTATAATCCTATTAGCATGTTTCGTTTTGTCTTATCCTATAGCCCGTCCTTCCAATCATCTTAATGCAACCTGAGTAGTGGTACATGATTATATCTGAATGTAAAAAATTGTGAGTAGTATCGATAATCTATCTCTTCTCTATCATGTACGTAATTAATCTTATATTGTCCTTATTATAATACATCTTCGTTTATCCTGAGTTTCATTTAGTAAGCTCTTCTCATTGAAAATAAGCAAAAAAAATATATTTTCATATTTATTGTGTTCTTTCAGTTATCATAAATATTATTAAATTTTTTATTTTCAATTTGAAGAACATATTAAATAAAACTTAATAAAAATCAAAATAACTTTTAATAAAGATCGGAGGGATTATTTCTTTTAATTTTAAAAAGAAGACTAGTGCAACGATAAAATATTCACAATAAACGCGTACAAAAAAGTTATGCAACGTTATTACATTAATTAATTCTTCCATAATATCTTAGATGAGAATCTCGTCAGCTGATTAACCGACCATGCTTAATCCCCTTAATGGAACTTTAATTGTTGTGACGACATCTATGTATTTTGCGTTTTTGTTTAGTGGTCCATTATGATCATCACAAGTAATGGAAATTAATTTAATTGCGTTATTAGTTGGGGTACATTAAGTAATTAATCAAAAGCACTCAATTCTAATTGATGTTACTTGTATCCAAATCACCACACACCTTAATTTATTTTTTAAGTGACAGTAATCAAACATAAAAACTTTTCTCCTTTTTTGCTAACCACAAACGATTCTGTCGACAAGATTATGTTAAAGGGATTAATAAGATCTTTTAAGGGATTTTCCACTACTAAGAATTAAAACCAAGGATTTGTTGTAATTAATCAAATCAAACTTTCTTGTACTATATACATAATATTATGATTTGTTGACAACTTTACATTTAGTCCTTCTGTTTCACTGAACTAATGAGATTCTGAGAGCTTTTTTTTCCCCCTCTTTTTTTAATCTTTGTGCATTTCTTTGTGTTATAATTGTCTCCAGCTGAACACAAAACTTGAGACAGAAGTTTCTGTTAAGATGCATGGGATATCTAGAGAGTACTCTCATAAAGTAAAACTTAATCCGTTCTGAAGATAATTATCCTGCATTGCATTATACTTCATTTAAGAAAGTGACGTAATAAGCATAAGAAGCGTAACTACTACTAACTAGTTCTTAACCTTAAACAAGGAAGCAGTTACATTGGGTTAAAGTTCCGAAAAAATAAAATTATTAGCGGGTGGTGGTTGATTAAGTCCAGCAACATCTTTTTGGATCAATTACCCGTATTTCTTTCGTGAAAATAAAAATTTAATTTCTTACATTAAACAGTTTAATAAACATGACGCTTATTTTTAGAAAAATTGATATATATATATATATATATGTTAAAGTTTTTTCTTTTAATCAAAATAAGTACCGTCTAAGTAGGATTGGAGAAAAGCCCTGGAACTTTCTTTCTCATCGACAGTTAATAAGAAATATAAGATCACTTGAAAATCCCTCAAACGTTCTTGGAAAATGACAATTTTGTATAATGCTCATATAGTTAATGCAGCAGCGAAACGAAGAACTTACAAGAAAATGACGCGATGAATCTTGATAAATCACGGACTACGTATAATACCGACGATTGTGATATCATATGCATATTTCACATCTTTCTGAATTTTACTGAAAATTTTCATTAGATCATTGATCTAAATAATTAATATTAATAGAATACGGCAAATTGGTTAGGTATGGAAATGATACAGTGTAGAGATGTTGAAGGTTTTGCCCATGCGTGTAATATGTAGCTATCTAGGGCTCCATCTAATTTAATTTCGAGGATCCCATCAACTATATAATCAAGTGTTATTATTATTGGTCTTGACCAGATGCACGAACCTTTATGTCACAAGACGTATAAGTTATAAATTGGGACAACAACTTCTCCTGCTCTTGTTCTGGCCAAGTGTTGAATTTTCTAAGAGCTTGGCTCCAATAATTAACTCTTATAGTAATTTACTTGTACACTTGACATTTGTTTGAAATGATGAGGTGCATGCAGCATGAACAATGTGACCTATGATCTAAAATATTTACCGTAGGGGTCAAAAATCGGAGAACAAGACTCACAATTCATTACGATTAATTTCAAAGCCAGGACATAAAAATTAATGAAGTAGTCTGTGTTGGTAATTAATAGATATGGTTATCTGGCAAAACGATGAACGTATCACACGAAAAGCCTAGGGTGATCATGACCTAGTAATTTATTTCTTAATTAAACCCTCAAAAACAGAAATTTATTAAATCGATCCATGATATACGACTTAAGAGTTTGGAACTATATTGAGCTTGAGCGATAAAACTAGGGTAATAACACAGACAATAGGACGAAAGCCTACGTATTGAAAAGCTACGTAGTCAAATAATGTCCATAAGATTTCAGTACTACTGTAAAAAGGGTCGTAAAGATGATATACGGTATTTTGAAAGTATAGGTATATTGTAAAGTTGTAATAGAAGCAACAACACTGATTTCAGTTTTCATGTAATGAAAATTTACCTTTTTCTAAAAAAAAAGAAGATTTCAGTACTACTAGCTATGTAATCAAATATCATTCGGAAATCGATACAGTTAATCCTATGGGATGATCCACTTTACCAATTAAGTTGAGAACATAGTTTGCTCTTTATCAATAAGATTTAACTAAGTACAATATTTACCTTAGACTTCGGGGTTAAATTAAATGAAAAGAGATGGGATGGCAGCAAGGACATGGTTGCCACCCAAAGACAATTCCACAAAAGAAAGAGGAATTATAGCTTTTCTTAAAATTCCTCATAAATATTTCCCGCTAGTTTTGCAGTGGAAAAGTTACTTTAATGGACTATTGAAACCACCCTTTCTTAACCAATTTTACTCAAATGACAGGGGTAAAAAGAGCTTATGGGAATGTATAACTGGTCTTGTCTTAGGTACAATAAAAATCTTATCTCAAAGTGGATTACCATAAAAAGTTAAAGAAGTCCTGACCAATGAACAATAAAACAAAGGATGCCATGGCTTAATAAAATTGCCCAATTAAAAAAAATAAAGAGAAGGGACAAAAAAATCAAAACACATGGTTCTATCAAAATCTAAAGCTTGCTTCTACCATAGGTCCCATTAAGATTTTCTGTCCCAAACTTTTTTCTATATAAATCACCTCAAACCCTCTTCCCTCTTCCTCCCCCTCTCCTCTCCCTCCCTCCTAACTCCCACTTTAAGCAACCCTCTTTTTTGTCTTTTTAATTCTCCATTTTTATTTTGCCCTTTTCAATTTTATTTAACAAGAAGACAATAATTAAAGCAAAAACAACTTTAACCTACTTGGGAGTGGCAGTTGATTTAAAGGCAGAGTTAGTTACACTAATTGGAGATCATGTGAATCAAACATAAAGAAAGCTATAGCTAGTAGCAAGTGTATGGTCATTTTTAACACATTATTTTACTAGAAATCAGTCATAATAAGGTTTTTAGAAGACAAAATGAAAGAGAATGGTAGGAAGCAAGGGGCAGCTGCTCCATGTGCTGCATGTAAGCTTCTGAGGAGGAGATGTGCTAAAGACTGTGTTTTTGCTCCTTATTTCCCAGCTGATGAACCTCAGAAGTTTGCCAGTGTTCATAAGGTGTTTGGTGCTAGCAATGTCAACAAGATGCTTCAGGTACTTTACGCACTTTTGCTACTCTCTATCTCCTTAGTTGTCGTATTTGTAGGCATGTTTATCTTCGCTACTTCGTCTAAACGGCCAAAAAAAAGGGAGTTCGGTTGCATCCTTTGTGTATGAATGATGTTTTCGTTTTGGTTATTGTTTGTTTTTTCGGTATATTTATACTATTTACACTGAAATGTATAAATGTGCATTGAAAAATAACGTTTTGATAGTTTTTTTTTTTTCTTTTGGTTTTGGTAAGTTCTTGAGCTAACATTATTTGGTTTTACAAACTTTTTTCTTGATCGTTCCTACTTAAAGTCATTTGTGAGAAGAGGGAATAAGAAATTCCGAAGAATTTTGTTTGAAGGGAAATGCACTAGTTTGAAAAGTTTTGTTTGACTTGACAATTTGGTTTATGTAAATTGATGTAAGAGGGCGCTATCGAGTATCGACAAAGCTCTTTTTCTTGATGGAGTTGGAATTTCTAACCAATGAAGAGAAATTGCTTTTCAATTTAAATATTTCAATTATTTTAACTGATGGGGCAGCTTAAATTTGTGTATAGTCAAATCTTGACATGGCGCACTTCATTTCAAATATTCTTGATCTCTTATTGGTTGGATAATTACTAAAGGGATGATACAGTTTTTTTTTTAACTATAATATCAGAAATTCCTTCAGAAGTAGATAATTATATTTTCAAAAGTTATATAAATAATGAAATGCTACATATAGGAGAGTTACTACCCACATTTTCATATGATTTATGATAAACCTCCTACATGAATGTAAAGAAGCCACACGAAAAGTATAAACTATTGTATTGTACTTAGAAGGTCACAAATAGTGATGAAGATAAAATATGAGTATGTGCGTTGTTACATATTATGACAACAATCTTATAACTTTATTATTTATTTTTTCTTAAAGACCAATGTCATTCCACCGCTTTTTTCCCTCCAAATTTTTTTTTAAAATTTTTTTTCCCTCATCATAATAGTCTTTTTAGGGAAAATAAAAAAAGACGATAGATGAAGAAAGTGTTAGACTACTCTTATTTTTAAAACACGAGAGTTGCTACTTTTAACTTACTGTCCAAGTAGCTTTTGCTCCTATGAATCCTACCCACGGGAACCCTTTACGTAACATCGATCAGACATTTTTCCTACCAAAAACCAAGAAAAATATAATAAAATGAAAAGCAGATAGAGAGAGAGAAAGGGATTGAATGTATGGATCGTTGTTTACATATTTTAAAATCTTCCACGAATTAGATTTTGGCTTTTTCTATAGCCACTGTAATTTTCTAATTCACGCTAATTGGTTGGCCTAGGTGTGTATGAATTTCTTTAATTGGCAAAAAAATTCTTAACGTCGATACTTGATAATTGATTGGTGGGAAAAGTCATGACGGTATCCATTTGAATTGACAATTTTAATACATAAAATGTATATAAAGTAAAATAGTAAAAACTAAACAGATACTCCTTCCGTTCCATAATTATTGTCCACTTTGCCCAAAAAATTTTATCCCACAATTATTGTCCAATTTAACTTTTTATTGATCAAGTTACACATTTGTCCTTAGTAAAAAACATTATCCATAAAATCTTAGTGGTTAAACAGTTACTTATGTAGGGGTATATCCGGTTGTTTAAGGTAAAATATAGTTAAGTTTGACCAAAAATAAAATCTTTCATTTTAGTAAAACTGGACAATAATTATGGGACGGAGGGAGTACTAAATTTAGAAATGAGACTCTTAATCTGGATCTTGTAGAGTAGTAGTATTTTCGCATTTAAAATAACATTGTTTCAATGAAACACATATACGTATGGAGGAATAAGGAATGTCGAATATTGTGTTTTCTAGTCAAGATTGTCATCTTATAACTGGTCCTTTGGATTTGTTCTAAAAGAAAAAACCTATGATTTATTGTCAATGATCAAGGGTCATCAATCATCTTTAAGAGTAAGTAAAACTGCAAATAATATTTTTTGTTCTTTTTTAACCATAAAAGGACACAAAAGGAGAAGGCATATTCCTCTTTAGACCACAAGCTAATTTCTTGAGGCCTTTAAAGTCCATATTAGTATCTTTTCCTACGTAATTTCTTTGAATCTAAGCATGGATTTTTTGGTCAAAAAAAATCCCCATAGGTGAGCAATTTTGAAAAAGGGGTATATATTCTCATACCATAACATCATTACTCATACTTTTTTCTTTACTTGTATAGTATTCACACCTAAAAACTTAATCAAAGGTTTATATATAAATCATGCCCAAGTCAACCTAATATGATATTATTCCTCAAAATGTTATGCAATGATGGTGTCTTCGTGCAAAGTGAGTGATTTTGTCAAATATTGGGGGACACACATTTGATGACTGTTCTCCCAAACTCTAGAATCTCTATGTTTTAAAAGAATAAAAACTCACTCCGGACCTAAAATGACTGTTTTAATTTATACGTCCTTTGATAATCATTTAAGGTAATAAAGTATCCCAAGAATTTTGTCCATATTTTTTCTCGAATAATTATGCTCCCACCATTATGCACTTCATTACGTATAACAAATTGTAACATCCTACATGATACTGATACAATAGTTATCTGAAATATTTCTATTTTCAGAATGCAATAAAATTTTTAACTTGCATGTATCACTATTTGCAGGAGTTACCGGAACATCAGCGAGGCGACGCGGTGAGTTCCATGGTTTATGAAGCAAATGCAAGAGTGAGAGATCCAGTGTATGGATGCGTAGGGGCAATATCGTCACTACAGCAACAAATTGATGTTCTTCAAACTCAATTGGCATTGGCACAAGCTGAGGTAGTGCAGATGAGAATGAGACAATTCTCATCATCAGTTTCAGGCAACACAGCAGCAAATTCCCCTGATCACAACAACTCTTCTCCTTCATCATCCAGGCATACACATCACCATCATCATGATAGATCCCTTTTCACAATGGGGATGATTATTGATCATCAGGGCAATTTGGGAGAGTCCTTATGGTCATGTTAAGAATTAATGTTACTAGATTGAGCCTGGATTTTGATGTGTTATATATTTTAATTAGATTTGATATGATGGTGTATTTCTTTATTGTCTGCTGCTTTTTTTTTCCCTTCCTAGCCCTTTACCTATAGGCATATTTATACTATAGGACCCTGAGAGGCTGAGACACTATGATGATGATTGATTAGCATCATTAACCATATTGTAAATTTCAAACCCTTATAATTAATTATGATGAGCTACTATATTATAGTTTTATTACGTCTGTGAAGTTTGACTAATCACTTTTTTTTTATCTTCATGTCATGTTCTTTCTTTCTTTACCACTTTATTACAAGGAAAAGTTTATGTTAATGAACAAGACCAACAGACCCGGAAAAATGGGTACTAAATCAAGTGAGAAAAGAAGCAAGAATCCGACACTGGAACCAAAAAAATATAGACAAGAAAAGATGTCATATATGTATGGTAATGATTGTTGGTTACTACGCATGCTTTGTTAGCAATGATTGAATTGGAATTGGAAAAGTGGTACGACACTTGTAAGCGAATAAAGGGTCAGGTGTTAGTTGGTGTTTTAGTTAAGTGTCTGGAGCAGAATCAGGCTTTAGGAATTGATCTTTCTGAAAAGAGACTCTGGCTTTTCTTATGTTCCATTCAGCCTGCGACTTAATGTTCCTGTAATAGGCGAACCAAAAGCAGTTATGTTGAGATGGATTGATGCTGGATTAGTTACAGTTTGATATTAACACAACTTCTAGAGTTCTGAAAATGGCTCTTGACAACAAAATCATTAGAGGGTATTCTCAACCCTTACTTCTGAACCAGCACCAGTAGTACTATTCTATTTTCTGTTGGTGTTTCATGAGTTGGAAGTGATTGTTGTTAGGACATAGCGTTAATTCGATACATTAGTGCAGAAATGGTAGTTAGGAGGCGAAACAGCTCTATCCTGAATGCAGTTGGTGAAGGGTAATCAGCACTTGGGCATCCCTATTCAACACAGCTTCTTGCTGATGATACATTATCGAAACAACGGATGGCACCCGGTAACAAAACCATTTGCAGAAGGACTCTTGTTTGCTAATTTCATGAAACTACCAATAACTTATATTCTCTGTTGCCTCCTTGTTTATAAGGAGCTTGATTAATGAATTCGCTTCATCGTTGCCTTCAATAACCTATGAAATGTGTATGAGTCCCTATCAACTTGCAATTGTGATAGCTGAGATCACTTCCATTTCGATGAAAATTATGCTAAAATTTCTTGGGATGGTAATTATAATCAGAGTGGAGAAGTTTCTGACCTTCTGCTGATGGCAAAGCCTAGTTTTGTGACTGTTTTTAATGTATCAATTGGAGTCGAAACTGCAGTCTTACTGCTTGTCTACGCCTGATGATCCCCAAAGCCGTATAGAATTCTACTTTCAACATTTGATAAATCAGAAAACGTTCAAGCACTGACATACTATGGAAGATGCTGTCTCCCAAGGTATCTGAACCAATAAATCAATGAAACCATAGTTAAAGATCTCGCCCGAATGTACTTCTTAATGTTAATACAAGAGTTTCAAAATCTATACTGAAAGAAGTTTTGGTTCATGTCTCTCAATAGGCAGCATTTCTTTTTCTCACCAAAAACTGAACAGTCGTGTGGCAACGAAGTCATATTTCATGTTCACAGTCCAATGAACGTCAATGTTACTATCAGGATGTCAATATTCACAATTCACATACATGATGAGGAGGAAACTGTATATTGTTAGGTGTCACAGTTTCGATATGGTAACAAGTCACATTCAATTTTGTTCTTTTTTGTATTCTTTTACAGAGTTACCTTTGTGACAAGAGATTCCGTCTGGACCAGAATCGTTAGAGAATAACTGTGTGCAGAAAATTGTTGCTGAATCAATGTTAACAACTGGAAGGGCTGCCATCTTGTCAGTCCACTTGAAACATATGAGGTCATTCGCTGTCCTAAAACTAGAACAAATCTTGTGAGAAAGATTGAATTAAGACAGGAAAATTGGAGAAATTCAGATTTAAGGGTCATCATGCAAAACATAATTACTTCTTCTGCACCTTTTGAAACTGAAGTTTTGGAAGGAATAACATGGGTCATGAGTGTTTTAGGACAAAAGGCTGCATGTCTCTTGAGATTAAACTCGAAGCTCTCCTCGATTGCGCAATCTAGTGATTGATGTTGTAGCCCTTTTTCGACTATGCTCTTATTCAATCTTTGTCCAAACCATTTCAGATCTCCATTAATTCGGTATAAGTGCACTTGTCGACTGTTGCATTTCATGTTTGTTCCAGTTCATCTTACTCCACCGGAGTTAATATTAGAAAGATCCTCAAGGAGTAAAGTTGCTGTATGGATAACATGAACTTCTTCTACTTTTTCTAAAGAGTCTTACAACAGTGCAGAAGTTCTTTAGGAAGTCCCATTCGAATTCACTATTGCTGATTTACACATTTAAGTTAGAATAAGAATTGTGAGTTTTATCCTTGCTAAGAAAATCATACAAAGCCCCTCAGGATGGAGGATCTTAATCAATTAATGCAACATACACTGATCCACAAATGCCTCTTTGGTTTTTAATTAATCTATGTGCAAGGCAGAATAAAAGGACGTATGGACTGACAGATTTCTACACCCAATTGTTTGAAATTGAGAATTCATGAAATCTAAAAGAAACTTCTCCAGCAGTATCCCTCTCAAGCCTAATTTCTGAACCAGATCCAGTACTACCTATTCTGGTTTCTATTGAAATTTCATGGGTTGGCAGAGGCAGCACCTGATTCTCATTAGGCCGTTGCGTAGATTGGACTTCACTTGGCATTGGTAGTGTGGGAGGCGAAACTGCTCTACCCCGAATGCTGCCGACATTTGGAATGGTCACTGATCTCCCCCATAAGAACACGTGAAGGGTGATCGGGACCCTAGCGTGCCGGTGCAATGACAGCTTCTGGCTGAGCGATACTGTGTCGAAACAACGAATGGCGCCTGATGGCGAAACCATCCAGGGAAGCACTTTTGTATTCGAAATTCTTGATACCACCAACAGCTTAAATTCTCTGGTTGCCTCCTTGTATAGGTTGCTTAATCCTGATCTCGTTGAAGGCGCTTCATCATCGCCTTCGATGACAGATGAAATGTATATGAATCCCTGTCAATTTGCAAATGTGGATTATTAAAACTTGCATTAGTACAGTAAACAGTTGATACCAAATATTTTTTTTAAAAAATAAAAGATCCTCTGTTCTAACCTCCTCTGTTCTGCTGATGGCAAATCCTAATTTTGTGTCATTGTCTTTTATTTTGATCTCAACTGGAATCTCCCCTCCAAGTGGGGAAAACCATAGCCTCACTGCTCGAACTACGCCTATGTCAATCCCGTGATAGTCCTCAAATCCATATAAACTCGTATTCGCGAGATTTGATAAATCAGAAAGTGATCCGGCATTGACTGTGGAAGATGCTGTTTCTCCTGTTATCTGAAAACAGAGAAGTAAAATCAATAAAACCATACGTTTAAGAAGTCAAGTTCGCGTCACACTATTGTAAACGTGTCATTTTATAAAAAAATTAGATTCAAGTCGTGTCACAGGCTACCGTCTTTTCTTGTTTCTTTCTGGTTTACCTTGGTGAGGAGCGATTCTGTCTGGATATTCATGAACACGATCGGCACACCTTTACCTTGAGACGAATTGAGCCACGCATTTGCTCTGGCAAGTGTATCTTCCAGATCATTGTACCGGTAAGAAACTTTATCAGAGGATCTTGGCAAGAGAAGCATAGAGTAAAAGCTGCTAGAATTGGGAACAGATAGCATTTCCTGCATTCTCCTCTGCCATGGATACGAAACATATCCATCTTGAAGTGGTGTTCTCACTATTTCATTTACCATCTGTTCAATCCTTGAAGCTGCAAAAGTTTTAACACCTTAATTACCACATTCTGACTTCTGATACTGATTAAGAACAATGGTTGTTTCAAAAGTGATAAATTGAATAAGATGCGACAATCAGCGAAATCGGGTTTGTGTTGTCAAACAACACCAAAATCTAACCAATCAATGAACAGTCCATGGTGAATCCAGTTTTCGACAGGAAAACTTGACATGGTTATGGAAGTTATGAAAGGGTGAGAAAACTACAGAACTGATTTGATTCTTATCGAACAATTTATAAATTGCTTTCGTTTTAGCTAAAGAATTTCGCACGTTGACATATTATCCATCAAACTACACAAATGTTCGCGTGTTTTCTAACCAATGAATGCCCGGTTTCATCTTTCATTCAATATGACTAAACAAGCGTTGCAGCGCGAAGATACTTTCAAGGGGAGGAAAACACCGATACGCGGAAGTGTTTTTGAAATTTTGTAGCCAACGGATGAATACTACATATCCGAAGAATGTGAACCATAGTATTATAAAAATGTTGGCTGTGCTATCAAAAATATATAAATATTCACTTTGTACAAGAAAAAAAATAGTTTGTACATTACCGTTTTTTAGTATAAATTTGAAAACTTAATTTATGTTTTTTTTTTTGGGGGACATAGGTTGTAAATAAATGTTGGTTGTTGTTTGCAAGTGAATGAGTTAGATGACTCAGGAAAATAGACGTGTGAGTTGACAAAGAACATGTAAACCAATGACCAGAAGTCAATGCTCGTGTTAGCTGGGAGATTCAGCGAAACCATCAATAGAAGAAGAATAAAATGATTAGAAAAGGCGCAGCTGATTTAGACAAGTTAAGGTCATTAAACTGAAATATATATATACTTACTCTCCGTATTACTCCTCCGGTCCTTATTATAAACCATTTTGATTTCGTTTTATTTTTCACCTAGGATAAATCGGAATAAAATCTTAAAACTATATTTTCGAATTCGTTGTATTCTCCTAATTAGTATGAAATACTTTTAAGGTTTTTATTCTAATTAAAAGAACATCTTAGGTAAACTTATGACGAAATCAAAATATCTTATAATAAGGACCGGCGGGAGTATATTAATATCTTGGACTTTATTAAATTAAGATATTATAACAAAGTAGATCGTTCGAATAAACTCGTTAAGAACATTTTCCCTTATCAGTTAAGTTTTTAAAAATTTAATAGCTAATAAAGAGGATCATCAGGCCTCTTAGATCTTGGTGAATTGGTTGCTGGTTTTAACGTCGCATGGGCATTGGTCAACCTTTTCTTAATTTCTTTTTCTCTAACATGATATCATAACTTTATTAGACATCTAATAATTTCACCCAAAAAAAGAAAGACATTGAAAAACAAAATTTATGTATATGAAACCATAAAAAAAAAATTAAAAAAAATGTTTCGCGATTAAAATCCGTCCAATATTTTCTTGTTAATCGAATAGTAAAAGTTATTGGGAGTGGAGAATTTTGACCAGTAAAAAAATGAAGCATAAAAAAATTTCAAAATATCTTTAATGTGTAACTAGCACCAAGCGCGCAGGTTTGAGCATAAACGAAGATGTTCTGCTACTTCTTTAGAAATTAGAATATACGAATGCCAAGTTTTGAGCATATACTTATGAAAGCCCTAGAATTAATCTTTACTGGGGCAAATCTTGTCAATATTCCACAAATAGAATTTAGTCCAAAACTGGAGTATAAGAGGGTGGTGGGAATCATCTATTTTTTATTTTTAGTTTAATTTATATTAAAAATAAAAATTCAAATTATACGATAATTTCAGAACTGAAAAAGTACTCCGCAAGTTTTTCTGTCAAAAATGATATAAGTAACGGAGGATATACTGTTAGAACTTGTCTTATTCTACTGGTACAATTTCGAGTGGATTTCGCTAAGATCTAAATGCCAAATTCCATTTTGTTGGTATGTAGATTATAAGTCATGAGAAAAATAATCGTGATACTATTATAGGAAGAAATTTATTAGAAAAGAAAACAAAAAGAAAGATGATGGGCCTATGACGTTCGGACACAGGTGTGACTTTGACAACGTACGCAAAATGATAAGGTCATCAAACTCTTCTAGAATCAGGGTATGCCATTAATGTAGCAAAGGCTGCTTCCCGGAACCCCTTTTTCTTTCTGCCCTGGGAAGGCTTCAAAAATTCTTATTAATTAGTCCAAGTCTAACCCCACTAAATATCTTTTATCTTTATTATGGGGAAGATCATGATGAAGAAGACGAAAAACCTTATACAAACAAACGTGCCCGTCCTCATCGAACTTTTAAATATTAAACTTAAGAAAAAGCAATTTCTAAGACGAATATAATATGTTTGTAAGTTTATTTTTTACGTCTTTTCATTGAAAAAAAAAATGTTCGTAACAGAGGCTTTTAATTTGATCTATGTGTTTTTTCGGTTTTTAATTTGTCTAACTAAACGTCGTACATTACCAATAAATTAAACTCGGGTCTACTGGTTCTGGCTCATAAATTCTAACTACTTGAGCTCATGCAATTCCATGAATAAAGTTGTTACAAAATGATAATCCTCTTAAATCCTATACTTACTTTAAATTGGAAAAATATTTTTTAAAAAATGTAGAACAGCAAGGGGGAAAAAAGGTGAGCTAGACTCCTGCACATACAGTCCATTGAGGCATAGATAATGGATGAATTTTATGAATTTTCTTCTTCTTTTTTTAAATGTATCCATAATGCATGTCTAACAACAAATTTTCCAAGCTACTTAAATTAAAATTCTATAAGGAGAATTGATTAAATATTTGAAATATCACCAGTGCAAAGGGGGGGAAAACATTTCAATACTAGTAACAATCAAATTATATATAAGTGAATTTTTATATTCTATGTAAATAAAAAGAAAATTAATAATTAACCCAACAACCAACCAAAATAAGCCGACATGGGAACAATGAAGTCAATGTAAACAAAATTAAAGTCAACCCAAAAACACAAACCGTACCTTGGAGCCGCAAACATTCACTCTCCGGCCGATCAACGAACCCGACGGCGTAATTCGGGTCGTCGATTGCCCGCAGCATATACTGCCTCCGTCCGGCCGATTCATTCGGAACAATACAAGCCTGAAGCTCAGCAACTTCATCGGAACCCCTCCGGACTATAACCTGAATAGAAGTCTCCTTAGCCTTGAAAGAATTATGAAGTATTTTCTGCACCCCGGATTTCCCGTTCTTAAAGGGTGCCCGGACCGTCAAGTTTCCGACCGTGATCTCCTCCACGATGTCGCCGGTTTGTAAGAGGTTTCCGGTCCACTCGTCGGCTGTCGAACTGCCCTTAATGCATTGAATGGAAAGTACTAACAACGATCCCGACGGCGGAGATGAAGGAGATGATGATGAGAATGATGATCGGATGTTGTTGCCGGAAGAAGATTGAGAGTTGATCGAGTATGAACGATCCATGGGCATTTTTTGAGGGGAAGAATTTAATTCTTACCAATTTTTATTAGTAAAAAGGTGGGTGCTCATTGGTTTTCTTTCTTTTCATATATGCTCCGTTTTTAGGTGAGGAGCATCTAAGAAAGGACTAATAAAAGACTTGGACGGCTGAATTTTTATGGTCAAATATGTCATCAAATAGTAAGGAATAATTAAGATGCAGTCAATCAAATTTCCAACTGTGTGTGGCAGTGACATGACACTATTTTTGCGTATAATATGGATTTACCATCGGAAGTAATGAATAGGTAAATTTCACTTGGCTTGTTGCTATTCGGATTTATAAGATAGTTGGCAAATGACATGTTACCTTTTGTGCGTTATTTTTTGGTTATATGGATAAGTTATTTAATTTTTGAGAGAAAAAAATGAAAAGGAGTTCTCTTTAGAAAGGTTTTTGCTTAAATATTATGAATTATCCATTTTCCTTCGTTTTAAATTCTCTTGATCCCAAATAGTCTACTTGAAAGCTTCAAAATAAGAGCATATCCTAGGTCATAGAGAAATTACACTAAACTTTTAGGACAATTTCGTTGATTTTCTGTAAATAGAGAAAAAGAGAGATTGCCCGTATCTTTCTTTTTGATATAAATTCTGAAATCATTTTTGCTAGATATACATCATATTCAGTTTAATTCTTATTTAATCAAAACAGTTATTAGCGTGACTTCAGACCGCTGAAGATTCAAGTATATTCTTGGAATTGAAAGAGAAGAGAAAATGCAGCCCACTAAATTTGAATAATTTGCAGGTGGGAAATGGACCAGTATGTACCTTACCAAATTTCATATCTGTCGTCGTCAACTCGTGGGGTGTTTAAGCATACATGGCAAATGAATGATTTTTCGTCGTGGGCTGTACATGTTACTTAAAGTGTGAAACTTAGGAGGTGCCTGCTTCGTTCTTGGCAATGGGTTTCAAAGAGGGATTGATAGAAATTGGGATTCATTTTCAATTTCCTGGAATCATTTATGATGCTTGGTTCATTGTCATTTATGGGTCTCATTACTGTTGTTGATGCTTGGTTGTTGAAGATAATGGAATGGCTTTTCCAAAAAAGAAGATAATGGAATGGGAATTGAAGAAAATGTCACTTTTACCCATAGTTCTAAATAGATCAATACAATATTAAAATTTACTACTCTAATAAAAACTATATTACTTCTGCAGAGGCCACGGTTTCTAATACCAAAATAAAGATGATGCATCAATTGTTCTGGAGCTAATGCCAGCCCTGCCTAACAACAGCATCTTCGTAAACATTCCAAAACCATTAGACACCCAAAATCACAAGAACAAAGATCAAGAATTGGCCTCGATAGCCGGTGAATTGAAAGTTCAAGGCGGCACAACAACAGGTATTGCAGCAAGAAGAAGAAGTTGAATGATAAAGGTTTTATATGAATTCCAATTTACCAACTAATACAAAGCATCAGATGATTATCCAATGCAATAAGGTTTTGGTAGTGCTTTTCAAACTACTTGAAGCACCAAAGACAACAAGAAGTTAACAACTAAATTCAAAACCGGAATAAAAATAGAGCTTGTAACTATCTATGTCCACTTTTATATCAAATTACAAGACAAATCTCATACGCGAAAGAAGGTTATAACCTTTATATTCATGTCCTACCCAAACTAGGCATTAACCTATACAAAATAAATAGGACATTAGATTAAAAAAAAAAAATGTTACCAAGTTCAACTAGATATTCACCTGTCAAAAGAAATATATCTATTCCAGCAAGCCATACGTTAGCCTTTACAAAATCAATGGTGAGATTAAATACAAAAGTGGTGACTAATTTCAGATTTTAATTTGAAAAAGTCACTTTTTAGCCCATTTCAGTTAAAATCTTTCGCCGGGAGCTGGATATAAGAAGCTCATAATATACTGAAATCGCATCTCCTTTGTCAAGCTGAACAACATTTCTATTTTTGAAGGATTAGAACTTAAAATTTCGCCTGCCTTGTACACATCTCCACTTGCAAGACCTAGAGGTAAAGCAATTCTTTAACAACTTCTTGCATTTTATTTGAAGCAAGTGGCTCAGGTTTCGAATCAGCATTTAAAGCATTTGCAATGACAGAATATTGAGAAGTAATTACCTCCATCAAAGATCCAGACTTGCCAGTGAAATCCTTGAAGTTATTCTCAAGTATTTGAGGTTCTGCAGATGTCTTTTTCTTCTTCATGAGAGCTACAAGTTTTGGTGAGAGACTCTTTCGCTTGCCTAAAACTTGAGTGCTTGATGAAGGAATCGGCACTGCTTTCACTTCTGAATCCTCAATTATAACATTTTCGTCACCGGATGAAGTAGTGAAAGTCTCATTCTCTGTTTCCACATTTATGACATTTTCCATTTCATGCACAACTCCAACATAAGTCTGAGTAACAACTCCAGCTGCTCTATCCCTACTGTAAACATCATCTAATGCACGGAGATAAGGGAATGTCAACTCTTATAATCCTTTTGCCTCTTTGTGTTTTCGTTGAAAATCAAAATTCAAGAATAAAAGAAAATAAGACCTATGATTGCAGTGATTTTGGTTGGACTGGGTTCAAAAAATAATAGAAAATATGACAAGCTGAAAATATAAAAAGTTTACCTGGCACCAAGCTTCAAACCATTGTTCTTCACAAGCTATTCTGCATTCAACCTCATTCCATTCGCACCCACTTTGTCTACAGATGTCATAGCATGGTACTTATTTTTTAGCCACTTAATCTTCGACTGAAGATGTGGAGACACTTTCTTTGAAAATGAGGGAATCCTCTCCAACATTCTCTTGTAGACATCATCCATGTAATTACTCCGGAATTCCCCATCAGTTTTCCATGTTGAATCTGCAGCTAGTTCTCGTAGGATATCAATCAATGTTTTTGTCTCTTCCTCACTACAATGTTGTTTATTTTTACCTCGTCCATGGATAACTCCCTCACCTTCCATTCTATCATTATTGTAGTAGTCATTAAAACCAAGTACGCTTACAAACAAAAGTAAAACAAATTTAGCAACTAGTAAATATGACAAAATGAAACAGCTATCATCCTTTTCCAGAGAAAAGAAAAAAACAGTCATCCTTTTCTCAAATAAAAAATCAAGTCATCGTCAATCCAACGCAGAAGATTGATGATTAACTCTATTGTCTAACGCAGCAAAAAACATGAAAAATTTACATATTACAATACATTTTAATGATTAGCTCTAGAGTTCCACTTGTTAAACATCTCATTAGGTAGATTGTTTCTAAAGGCTACCCATTCATCACTAGGCACAATATGAGTTATGTAATCGCCCTGATCAAAGTCTTCATCATCTTCTGAAGATTGGTCATCTTCCATCTCAACTTCTCCAAGAAGAGCTTCTTGGGGATCAACACTCATAATCTACGAATCAAGTTGTGCAAAAGAGCACATGCCATAATGATCCGTATTTGGGTTTGAATCGGGAAAAAAGAAGGAGAAGCTAATATTTCCATCTTCCCTAAAATAAACCAAAATACTTTTCAATGCAGTTCCTAGCTTTCTTGTGTTTCATATTAAAGAACTCTTGGGCTGTTTGTGGTATACGACCAGTAAATTCATTGAGACGATATCTTTGACCTCGATATGGGGCAAGAAACCCCTTGGCATTGCAATATCCAGCATCTACTAAATAATACCCACCTTCATAAAAATAACACTACTTAGTTTAATTTTTCGAAGTGGAAAACATTGAAAATTCTGATTTTCGAAAGGACTAGATATATCAGTCCTTTATTTACCTCGAGGGACATTAAAACCATAAGGCCTGGAGATTGCATCTCTAAGGACACGACCATCATGGGCAGAACCTTCCCAAGCAGCCAAAAGGTATATAAATTCCATGTTTGGACAACAAACACCTAATATATTAATTGAAATGGTTCCTTTCCTTGTGCGATATCTTGGTTTTTCCTCTTTAGGAGGTATAACACTAACTAATGTCCTATCTAAAGCGCCTAGACAACCCTACAAAATTAAAAAAAAATGCAGGAAAAAAAAAGCAATGCATTTTAGCTTAACTTCCAGAAAGTGAATGAAAATGATTTCATCTAGTTGCTCTGATCATGATTTGCTTTACCTTTAAATGTCTTCATTTTTCATCTTGGCAATCATTTGCAATAGGCTCCGGTGTCTTTAATAATATGTGATGTAGTTTTAATACTGCCAAAAGTACTCTATTAAACTGCCGACTCACAGTTTCTCTACTACGCAAAAGATTAAGGCTGATTGTGCTGCTCTTTTGTGACGAGCTAAGGTATACACAAACTGTAAAACTACTTCTTAAACTATGGTGTTCCTAGTGTCTCTTAAACCACTCTCTTAACATTTCACATAATAATCCAAATGTTGCTCTATCCATACGAAGTTCACTTATACAATAAGCATCACTCTCCCGAGTTAGCTTAACCATGTATAACATTCGCTCTAACATTTTTTCTTCTTTAGACTTTATTGTACGAATCGAAAAACGAACATATCGAAAAGAAACAAGTTACCACACTGTGAAAAGAAAGATCAAAGTGGTAGTTGTGGCATGTGGAAATAATAGGAAACGCATCAGCTTGTTTCTTCTGTCGGTAATAGGAAGTTGCGCCATTTAGTTCTACACACCAATATGAACAATCACAATAATTTATACATAGAAACATAAGTATTCATGGCAGACTTTTTTCCACAAGAATCTTCCATTTAATACACATGAATAAACCAACAACATCATTAAAGCTAGAAAAGATTAAAAACTCGGGAAGAACTTATAAGCATAAATTATAAAGATTCAAAATTTAAACTTCATGGCAACCAAACCCAACGAAATTCAATAGTTCAAGTTAAAAGCAACAAATTGGCTTTATATTAAAAATCCCCTTCTCAAAGTTAAGTTAGTTTATAGCTTTCTAAACAAACAAAAATCAGAAGCATACAAAAAAAAAAAAAGGAGGGGAGGGGGGTTCCTTCTGAATTACAAATCTGATTAGATCTATACTTAGAATTATCCATCTCAGTTTAAATTGGTTAGATAATAGATGTAGTAGAGAATCCACGTAAAGAATTGGGAAACTTTGAAATTAAGAGAAATCACAAGATATTTCTTTTTCTCAACCGAAAATTCATGTCAAATAGGAACAATATGGAAAATACACAATCGCAATCAACAAGGAGAGGAAAAGAAACACTTATAGTAGAAGAAGGCGAGTGAGATTGGTAGGAGAAGATGAGTTTTGGTTTTTCGTTGAAGCTTGAAGAGGAGAGATTTGTTGCAACGGTGAAGAGGAGAGATATTTGTGAGGATTTTATTAGTCGCGGGAAAAAGGGCAAATAAAGAAGAGGGAAATTTTTTTGTTGTCACGCCTTTCATTCCCCCCGATTAAGTGAGGTATGGAAAAACCCATGTGGAATGAATCAAAATTACTGTTTTGGAGTCAAACCCTCCCAACCAAGCAAGGTAATTGGGATTGAGACCCATAGAATTGCATTCACACCCACGAACCAGGCAGCACCTTAGTTATTTTCACTAACTAGTAAACATTACTAGTATGATATATGTGTTTGTCCTTTATTATAAATTAGTATGTGTCCCGTGCGTTGCACGGTGGGTTTCAGATATTATTATGATAATCAATATAATGACATTAATTATCCTTAAACATTTTAATATAATTTGATTATTATTCATCCGTGAGTCTTCAACTAAGTAGCACATTAATGAAACTTAAAGGGTCGAATTGAAAACTATTTGAAAGTTTAAAATTTTACATGCAAGGGCTTCTGAATGTGGGGGGCTTTTTAACAATTTTTAAAACTTATCATCTTCAACCTCCCTTAAAGGAGTTCGCCGGCCAAAGGGAACTGCTACTGTTGAATTTTGATCTCACATTCCAATGCACAAAACTCATCGTTCTTTACACCAAAATGATCCCCATGATGAGTTTCACAAAACCGATATCTCAATTCCACTCGATTCATGCCAGAATCAAAGTATATGAGATCGAACTGAGAATTTAGCCGGAACTCAATTCACTCAGTTGTCATTTTGTTTTTACATAGTCATTTTTTTAGTAATTTCTCTTTTACTTTGTATCTAATTTATAGTTTTCTGTCCCAAGTCCAAAGTTCCCCGTTAATTAGTTTTACTTTACTTCCAATTTACTACCCGTAGGTTCACCGTTTTCATTGCCGATTATCTCCTCACGCCAGCCATCATCTCCGATCAGCAGCCTCGAACCATCAGAATCACCTTTCATTTCTTTCATAGCTACGGTGCCATTATAAGATGTCGCTGCCCAATTCATCTCCTCAATTCGTCTTCATCATCAACTAATTCAGTTCGGAGTCTGTGATCAGTGGCTCTAATCCCTATACTCTCTGTTGGCTTTTTGCAGCGAGAAGAAGCTGCCGTCACCACCGTCGGTTTGCCATTGTCAAAAGTCATCTTTTCACTGAAATTCTATCGGCGAGCAAGCTCAGGCCACTGCCTACAAATATTTTCTTTTCCAATCTTTTTCATAAATTTTATTCTTCTTGTCTTTCCGGATTTTAAATTTTGTGCTTCATTTTGTCCGGATTTTAAACAGAGTGGTCTAGCTACTGAAATCAACTCTGTCCGGAAATTTTTCCTAAAACTCATTATGCTGTTAAGCACATCGACGTTGGCATTCTGCCATTTATCACTGAATCATCTACTATTCATCGGTCGTTCATCGTTTGCCGTTCAACCGTTTTGTTGTTTCGTCCGCTCAGCGGCTGATGAGTCATATATTTACATATAATTTTATATGTTCTCACTTAAGATTTTGTGTTCGTTTTATGTGTTTTAGGGATTATTACTTAATAAAATGCTAATTTTGCAGGATTTAGGAGATTGGTGATAATTGGAGTTAAATGGGACGAAATTGGGCTGAATTGAAGAAGAAAATTGAAGCTAAGGACTTAATTGAAGACTGAGAGAAGTGTTGGGGAAGCAAGCAATAAGTTGAAGACTCAAAAGGCCAATTGTGTAAATTGTGGAATTTGGTCCAATTTTGGCCGAATGAGGGCTTATGTTTTTGTCTTTGGGCTGCACGTGAAATTACGACTTTGTAACTCAATTTTGATGGTGAATTAATTAAATGAAAGATGGCCCAAATCATCAAGGTTTTTGCTGCCCTATTTTGGGTTATAAAACAAATAGAATTGCGCAGCTTTGAGAGAGTTCGGCCGTGAGGGAAGTTTTGGCTGCGGAGTTCGGCCTTGGGCAGAGTTGCGACCGAGTGGAGTTCGAAGCTTTCGTGTTGGTCACGCAACAAGGAGAGGGGCAGCAGCCCCTTTGCTGCTGTCCTTCGCACCGCACTCTAGTTTGATTTATTTTATTATGTCTTTTGAGTAATTATTTTAGTTCAATTATTTAAAGTACATGAATATTATTTTGATGATTTCTTGAACTAGTTTTGTTGGTGATTTATTGAATGATTATTCTTCCTGTTTTAATTCTATGCAATTTTTAATAGCCTGATAATTATGTGTGTTTGAGAATTATGCATTACTAGGAATAGTGTGTATAGTTTTAGCTCTTGGAAGAATAAATCATGACATAAATATAAAAGTTTATGGTTCTTTACCGGATAGGAATATACCGGTAAGGCATGGGTGGCCATATGTGATACCCGTTTTTAATGACTCTACAATTCAATGCAACCATAGAAATATAGGTTTGTGATTAGTTGTAGGATACCCTTATGACTTCGGAAGGAGCGTAGGGATATAATTAGGAGATCCGACCAACATTCATTCACCACTGTTAGTTTAGAGTTGATTAGACAATTGAAGTGGAAATAAATAATTGAACTAGTTTGCATTATTTTGTTTTCTTCATCACAACTTTAGCTTAGGATTTTATTTTCCATTTTATCACATTTTTCTTGATTTCGGTTTCTTCTTCTTAAACTT